TAGACGCCCCCTAGACCCCCCGGAGGCGTGTGGAAGGCGCGTGCGACGGGTGGTGTACGCCAGTCGTCCTCGCCGGCTGCGGCCGCACCGTGGTCGCGCATGGTCGTCGGGCCCGGCCGGCCGTAGGGCTGGCCGCTGCCGTAGCCCTTCGGCACCGGGCCCCTGGGCGACCCCAAGGAGGCGTAGTACAGCTTGATGGGGTCCCGCACGACGACGTCGATGAGCTTGGCGGTGCTCGAGCTGCTCCTCGACGAGCACACCGTCAAGTTCCGGATGCACGCCGCCACGGGCCCGTGTTGACGGTTTTGTCACTCGAGCTTGGGACCACACATCATGACAAGGGCCTCGACCGTTCTGGGCGCGGCGCCGCACCCACGAGGCCGCTGCGCAGCCGTGCCGCCGACGACCGTGTGCCTAGAGAGACCGTTTCGACGCCCAGAGCGGCCCGTGCGACCGTGTTCGTGGCGTCACACGATGACCTGGGGATCGGGCAGCCGCGCGGCAGCTTGCACGCGTGGCGCAGGCGCAAGACGCAGCGCTTTAGGGCGCCGAGGGGCGCCGCAGCGCGTCGAGGCAGCCCGTCGTTGGAAAAAAGATGGCTAAAAATCCATCAAGATGCCGAAGCGACGACAAACTTTGAAGAAAACCTCGCATTTTGGACGCCTGTGACCAGAATCAGCTGCCCTTGACCACGGCCCGGCGCCCGGACACGTCCCCGGGCGTTCCGGGACGTAAGGCGGCGGTACCGGGGGCGTACCGCAGCTCGTCGACGGTGTATTTTATTTTATTTTTTTTGTATTTTCGGCCGCGCGCGCACGCGCGCGCTTCCGCGAGGTCGTCTTACACGGTACCAAGGACGTCGAAAATGAATTCAGAGTCTCCGAAATGTATTTAGGCGTACGGGGTTTGTCCCGATTCGTCGCGGAAAGTGACCTCGCGTTTTTTGGCCTGGCTGGGCCCGTGACGACCGTGCCCCCCTTGATCTGGACATCGCTCACTTCATCGCTCTCTAAAGTACTGTAGGTGATG